ATTTGTACTGCCTATTATTGGTGAAGAATTATTGTGTGCCCTAGGAAGAGGGTTATTTCCTTGTTTTTCTCATGTTTCTTCTGTCTCTGTGCTGGTTTTTGGTCATCTGATGCACTATTCACTTCTTCCTATTTATTGGGGTAGATTCCGTAGTGTTGGAGGAAGAAAAATCAGCCCTAGATCCCAGGTTTGTCTTGGTAGAAAGCTGTGTCTTCTAGATCAGAGTAGATTAGAGATTATGTAGGTAGCTTCAGGTGGTTGGGTCCTCTCCCAACCTTTCTGCACCTGATAAGCTGGACATAAACTAAGGAGATATGACTTAGTAAAGAGGATGACATTGCCATCACTGGGCTTTAGTGTCCCAGGTTCTGAAGGCAAACCTGTGGGGGATCGGGATGCACCTGATAAGATTCATACTTGCACTAGAACTCAGCTTCCCAGCAAGCAAGGCTCAGGAAGGGGCAGCCCTACACAGCTGGGGTGTCCGAGGTTCCAAAGGCAAACCTATGGCAATTGGAATGCACTTGAGGAGACTCGTACTTGCACTGGAACTCCTGGAGTCATGTTTTCTAATAGTTCTTTTGTTACTGAATAATCAAGGTCTTCAAGGCCTGAATTATAGTCTTTGATTATAATGAAAGCCCCTGATATTATCAGACTCTGAATGATTGGGTGTTTTCTCGCCATGAAAGGATTCAGGAAACCACTATCTTTTAATACATTCTTTGCAGAGGATCTTCCTTTAGTGTCAAGAGAAAGACACTGATGAAGTCCCCTTAACCAGTACCCAATGATCTGCACTTTCAATGAGAGACAAGGACAGTCCTCTGGGAACAGGGAAAGAAGTTAGACAGTAGCTTCTTAAACCTGCTCTTGTGTGATTTGAATGGTTACTTTTGCAGAGCATTATTATTTAATGTCCTATTTCCCTAATTTTAAATCAGTGCCCTCCTTTAGCAAACTCTATAGGTTTTTACTTTCCCCAGAGGGAATATTATAATAAGATTAAATAATGTGTACCTTAAAAATAACTATTTTTAATAAATAAAAGTCCTGGATATATACCGGTAGCCGAAATATAGTTGGCATATATATTAGGTTTAATTTCTCTAGCTTTCCTGAGTTAACTCTTTTGAAAAATAGTTTACATGCTATGTACATTAGAACTTGTTACATCTCACCAAATATAATTTTTGTCTAAATATTTTTAGTTACAACAGCTATTTTACCAGTGTGTAGAGAAAGAAAAGATTTCGTCTGAAGTGGGGGGTAGAACTAGAAAAGATTGATTAAGGTCATTTTTAAAGGATAAACTGAACCAATTGGCCAGTTAAATAAATAAATAAATGAAAACTCTGTCCAAGTATAAACTAGAGGGAGGGACTGGCTTATTTGTAGTCATATTTGGAAAGCAGACTGTAGAGCGGAACTGTGTGCTGAATGGTAATGTAGCCCCTCAGACATCAGCTATCAAAGTAATAACATAAAGCAGAATGTCATTGGGCATCAAATGACAATGGATGATGCTTGCAGTCTTTGATTTTCGGGAAAATAGGGACGTTTACTAAATGACAATTTCAAAAAAGAAGATGTCATCAAGGAATAAATAATGGTATAGTCTCATCAGATTCAAAACATTTTCTCTGTAACCAGATTCATAAAGGTTAAAAAAAGATACGACAACTCAATTTTTTACCAAGGGGTTTGGATGGGTCCCTGAAACTCTGTTCCAAGCTGTAGGTTGGAAATGTAATTGGTTTTAATTAATCATAACACCATGCCAGAAAAAGTGTTTACAGTATTACAGAGATTTCGGGACTGCTTGAAATTGTCTTAACAATTTCCTGTCCTCCCCCTCTTTTTCCTTTTTTTTTTAAAGTGTAAAGCCAAGAAGAATGAAGGAAGGGTGAAGAATAGATGTTTTTCTTTTCAGTTGAACAACTTGTGCACAGAACTTTTATTTGCAGAAGAAATAATTCAGCAATATATGCACTGGGACATAATGGTATTTTAACTTAGTTAAAAGAAAAGTCATGATTTTATTTATTGTAACTGAGGTCTAATTATTGAGCTACATTTAAGCCAGATGTTTATAAACAAATTAAATTAAGAATTGAAACAAGACATCCATTTTTGGGGCTAGGGTAGGAATCAAGTAGACTAATATGTAAAAAACCGGAAGACTAGGTTCTGACCTGCCACAAACAAACTACATGACCTAGGGCGAGCTTTAGAACCATTATCATTAATTTTCTTGTTCTGATAGGTTTGGCAAACAGCATGGAAAATCTACCACTTGAGACTGTTCATACAAAATGAGATGAAGTACTAGACATTGTCTCTAATCAGTATTTCTGAATTTATGAGTTCTTGTCACCTATTCATTTACTTATTTTTAACTAAGCTTAGTTCTTCTCTTCTGCCAGATCTTAATCTCCCCCTGTGTCAGAACCACCACTGCTGTCTTTTTGGACTCAGCATTCAAGAGGTGTTCACCAGGATAACTCCTAATTAGGAGTTAATATTCTTATTCATTTAAAATAATTTCCCTGAAAGTCAGTAAGGTCCAGTGGCAAGGCACATTATATGTATTTACTGGATCAGTGAAAAGGGTTTCATCCTAACTTTTCATCCCACTAACCATAATCCCTTAAGTAAGCCACCTAACCTTTTTGGGCCTCAGCTTTCTCATCTACCAAATAGAAGTAATGATATTTAAAAAGTACATTAAAGTGATTAATAGATGAGAAAGTCCTCTGACAAGTGAAAAGCACTATTTCATTTTGAGTTATCATTAATAACAGAGGATTTGTGAAAATACAGAGGGCAGCTTCTGCTCTCCCAGCTGGATGGGTAGAGAGGTGGCTTGTGTAAATGTATGGTTCTAGATCATTCTTTGTGCACTTACACAAGCATCCACCATCTTCTTGAAGACCTGAGTGGTTCATGGCTCCTAGTGCCATTCTCTGTGAAAGCAGAAGTCCCCACTTAATAATCCATATTCAGACTGTCCCAGTTTATCTGTGTTTTCTTCACTCTGCTTTTAAGTAGTTAAAATCTTTTTAATATGGCTTCAGAAAAGTTGGCATTTTGAACTGTACAACTGTACTGTAAAGGTCTCGCCACACAAGAGTTTCATATTCCTCCTGAGGGCCTTAATTTGTCATGCTAGAAGCTTTGCGTAAAGGGGAGTAGTTGGGTCAGTGTGTCTTCCTGGGACATTAAAATGCTTCAGGATAGGACTGGAACAGATAGCCAACTAGAGTTCTGGGCAAGAGAGTGCTGTGTTTAGTGCATTGAATTCAGGCATCTTGCTCTAAAGAGTTCTGCCTGAGCTTTCTCAAGGATGGGCCCCAAGGACAAAATTATTCAAACATAGTCTGAATATGCATGGTGAATGACTGGCATAGAATAAATACTTCATACTTTTAAAATGAATTAGGAAAGGATTTCTGTAATAGTGTCGACTAAGTACCTGCTCTATCCATCATTCAGGAAGATGCATACGGAATATATGGCATGGTCCTATAGCAAATGTTGTCATTTACTACAGAAGACAAGGCATGCATAAATGAGTTATTTGAGCATATAAGTGAGAGGTGTTTAAATGATAGACTGTATGACGTAAAATATAGGACCATGAGAGTTCAAAGAAGCAGAGGATCAATGAGGAAACAGGAAGTGAAAGTTGAGGTAAATTTGGAATGCTGGATGGGACACAGGAAGATGAATGGGATGTGGCATTCTAAAAAGTAGCAATAGCAGGAGTAAATATCTGAAAATGGAAATGGGTTTGTTTCCTTCACTCTTTTCTCAGGCAATGGAGAGCTTTTGGTGGCGGGTATTTAAAACAAAACCAGGTTGATTATAACTCATAAGATATATTAAAATATAACATATAGAATATTTATAAATGTGTTCAAAGATGTATTAGTAACATGTTGATTTAAACAGCAAAACTTTTGAATTAATTTAAATTCTACCAGTAGGGAATGATAAATAAATCATGATACATTCACACCATGATATAGAGGTTGTCTCCTACTCACTAAGGTTCAACTTCACAGGGTTTAGATTTTACAGTGGTGCAAAAGTAATACACATTCAGCTGAAAATCTATTCAGGTACCCAGTCAACCTATTCTGTTTTTCTTTCAGTACAGTAGTCAATGAGCAACATGAGACAATCAACATTTTATTATAAAATAGGCTTGGTACTAGATGATTCAGCCCAGCTGTTATTAGCATAAGTGTTCAGAGCACATTTAAGGTAGGCTAGGCTCAGTAAGGGTGCTTAGGTGTATTAAATGCATTTTGACTTACGACATTTTTTTAAAAGAATTGTTTATTTAAATCCATTTGTTATTATTATTATTTTTTAATTTTGACCAGACAGAGAGAGAGAGAAAGGGGAAGCAAGAAAGTAAGCTGCCAGGTCCAGGACTTGAACCGCGATCAGCTATGTGAGAGTCCAGCGCCCTTAACCACCACGCCACCTACTTACAGTGGGTTTCTTAGAACATTCATACTAGCACAAAGTTCAGAAGAATGAAGTAAATCTTTGTGTGTGCTAATATAGAAAGACCACCTCAGATAAGACATGGTGGTATGGTAATAAATGCATTCATGTAATATTCGTTAACTTTGAACATTGATTTAATAAAATCAAAGTAGTGTTTGCAGAGGGTTAAGATATTGACATTCAAGTATTAAAAAGTTACTTCAAGTGAAGAAGGGTATTGGGAGACATGTGATTGAGCACAGATGATCAAGCCAAGGATGGGGATCGGAATGGTGAAGAGGGGGAGAAGAAAAAAGGAATGAATAAACTCCTTACAGAACTTCATGACAGAGTCTTAATATTGAGGATAAATGAGAGAGAAGAAGAGTTTTCCAGATCTAAGTTCAAGAAAAATGTACTGAAGAATGATGTCTACTAAATGGAATACACTCGTGTTAATAGGAAATCTTTAAGAGATTCTTCATATTTTTGTTTCTCAGGATGGAAGAAACAGTACGAAATCTATTGCAGAGTCAAGGACCTCCTGAACAGAGAAAAGAAGAAACTGTTAATATAATGGTCTATCAGGTACACCACGTTTTTTTCCTTTTAGCTCGATATTGGTCAGCATGTTTTTCTTGTAATTCTTTAGTTTTTCTCCTTTCTGAAGCATACACACATAATAAATATGATGTAGGACCCAGTGATGGGAGCCATCTAGTCACCTCTAGTTTAAGGAGTCATATACACAACATCCCTTGCACAATGATGCATGGAAAACTTAAAAAAGCTATAAACAGCAAGGAAATGGGCAGAAACGGAGTAAGCACTCTGCAGCACTAAACTTTTGTTGGCAAAAAAGCATGTGGGTTCAGGGAGGGAAGCACAGGAACTTGGTGGGGTAAGGATAATTTTGCATTTGCCTATTAGGGTTCAGGGCTCATCTGCCCAATTTATGAGGAGAATTGGAAAGACTCTGATAATAAAGTTTAAGTGTCATATGAAGTTAAGCAAGCTAGGGGGTAGTTAACCTTAAGAAGGCTGCATCCTAAATAGTGAACTCTTAAAATATATGCAGGGCTACTTTATGAAACTGGGAATAACTGTTCTACCTCTTTATGCATGGAGTTGACATAAGCTATTTCAGGAGTAAAGTCAAGTTCATAAAGACAGTAGGAAAATCATTTAATTCATTTCTAGGGAAACGGTATAAACCCTCCTGAAGGGGTGGTGTTTACAAAAGAAATGCACCTCAGCTTGTCCTGATATGTGGTTACCTAAAGTTAGGAGAAGAATTTAAAATCCTCCAACATCTGAGTCTTTGTTCTTTTCACAGATAAAACCAAGCTTCATTAGGACTAAGTGATTCAGTGTCACTCTGGGCTTCTATCCATTCTCATTGTTGATGTCTTCCATCCAGGTTCTTGTTTTCTTTTTTGTTTGTTTTTTGTTTGCTTGTTTTCTTTTTTCTTTTCTTTTCTCTTTTTTTTTTTTTTTTGAGAGGTTTTTGCTATAGGGCACATGCTCTCACCAGAAAGACAGAGAGAGACAGAGATATAGAAAGCGAGAAATCACCCCCCAGGTGTGATGGCCATGCCACAATCCCTTCTCCTCCATTCTCCTCTTGGGATCTGGGGCACTCATGCACATGTGCCTGGCGTGAGTTTAAGCCACCAGGTCTGGGACTTGAACCATGGTTGGCTACATGGGAGTTCAGCGACATAGCCATTACGCTGTTGGTCCCATTGTTTTGTTTTCTCTTGATAACTCTATTCTAATTGCCCCTCCAGTTGTTATTCCAGATCTGTGGTGAAGACAGTTAACATTATCATCATCAGAATTAATTCTGGGAAACTGAAAGCTACTTGGAGAAACAAATATACTTACAACAATGTATTTTAAAACTTTCTTCTCTGCAGTTCAGTCTATTGGTTATAGTAAATTATATCTTTCCTTTAGGGAGAAAACAGTTATTAACTTGAACTTATGCTACATGGGAGGGATGTTTCAGCTAATGCTCCAGTTGGCCTCAGGCTCCTTGTCTGTAAAATTATGGTCAAATTCCCCCTGTTCATTCACGTTGTTCATAATTCAACATGGATTACATGACTGGCAAAGTCATTTATACATTCAGGTAAAAGAGTTGACCTCACAGAAGTAGAAAGTAGGGGCCAGCAAGGGATGTGATGATTAAAGTACTGGACTCCCACATGGCCAACCATGGTTGGAGTCCTGCACCCAGTGGCTTGAAAATCACACCAGATGCATGTGCATGCATGCCCAAAAATTCCAAGAGGAGAATGGAGAAGAAAGGATTGCATCCTTCTTGGGGGGTGGGGGTGGGGGTGATTTCTCACTCCTTCTCACTCTCTCTGTCTCTGTCTCTGTGAGCTCATGCACCCTACAGCAAACACCTAAACAACAACAAAAATATATGTAGAAAGTAGAACAGTTTTTACTAGAGGCCATGAAGGGTAGGGGGAGTGGAGGATAAAGAGACATTATTTAACAGACACAAACTTTTAGTTAGTAAAGGAACAAGTTTTAGATTCTATAGCATTGAAAGGTAACTATAGTAAACAAGTATATGTAATTTATATATTGTGTTAACTGTTTCAGAATAACTAAAAGAAGGATTTTGACCATTCCCAACAGTATCAAAAAAAAGATAAATGTTTGAGATGATGGATATTAATTACCTCAATTTGATCATTACGCATTGTATTTATCTACTGTAAATTCACACTTTGCTACGTAGATCTGTACAATTATTATGTCAAATAAAAATTGAAAGATCCCACTCATTAAACATCTAGAATATGCTGCACTCTGGCTTTTAAAGAAACAAGAACAGAGAGAAGGGCTAGAGTTGCTGGGCAGCACTGAGTCTCAGGGAGGTCCCTTCAGTGCACAAAAATTTAGTATTCTGAAGGTGGCCAATCCTAACAGAATAGGTTATGCAAAATGTACATGGTGATACTAGTGGAACATATAGTTAACACCTCCCTGAGGCAAGATTCTGTATTTTTCATGCAAGAGCTGGAAAATTTATTGCTTCATAATATGAGGTGTCATTAGTACTCCTGACTCAGATTTTCCAGCTTGCAAGATTTCGCTGAAAGGCACCAGAGGCCCATGTGAAGCGTAGGCTCTTGGGATAGCAGCATTAGTTTCATTTTCTCCTGTAGTGGAAGTGTTTGTTCAGAGGCTTTTATCATTGAGCTAATATAGTAATAACAGAGTAATAGCTTTCTGTATTTCAGGTCCATGCTAATTGCTTTGCGTCCATTAAAAGTGGTCATATTTTGTTCAAGGGGTGTGTTCTTGAAGAGTTCTCATAATGTGTTATTGTGTAATTTATAATTACATAATTCAACATGGATTCTCTCTAAAGACCATGGGTGTTTCTAGTCAGCAGCCTAAATAGTCCTGTCATGTGTTTAACTGGTGTTTTACAGGTTTTCAGCTTTCAATTTTTTTAAAATTGAGCAATTCACATAATTTCAAGTTTTACAAATGAAATGGCATTAATAACATTTTTATGTGACCACGATTTCAAATTTGCCTAGGTCGGATCCCATCACAGGTGACTACAGGGTAGCGCCTTCAGTCTTGTGACTCTGCAGGATGTGTTGTCATTGTCTCCATCCTGTAAATGTGGACATAGTCTCAGAGTGGAAGTAGCTTAGGAGGAGTTTGAAGCTTGCTTAGTCTGATTGCAGCCTCAGCTCTTATACTGAGGAATTCTGGAAAGAATACATGATGGGCCCATCTTAGGCCATTATTACATTGCTAGCAGAAAACAGAAACATCTAAGACTGGGTGAATTTAAGAAAATAGAGGTCTATATTGTTTCATGATTCCGGTGGCTAAGAAGTCCGAAGATATAAGTCTAGACAACATGGCAGAGGGCAAGGTTTTGAGCTGAGCAGGTGTCTGTAAGTTTCTGTGTCTCATTATGGTCAAGTTTCCTGTTTTATATCCACCAGAACTCAATCATAGGGGCCTTCCCTAATGCCATTATCACATCCAAAGGCCCCACCCCAGGACACCATGGATGAATTAAGTTCTCACTTGATGCATCTATCATACAGTCAAGTCCCGATACATGAACTTATGGAGGACATTGGATCATTGTCCATGGAGACAAAATTCTAAAACATAAGTCTTTGGTGGGGTCAGGGTGGGGGTGCAAACTGTTAAACTGTTATCTAAACCATAAATAGGCCCAAGTTACCCAACTGGTTATTATCCAAATTGAGATCTGAATCTGGCTTGTTCTGCTTCTGTCCAGATATCTCTGCATTAAGTCATCTACTCATTGATTCATTCATTCATTCAAATGCCAGTTTTTCATTTACCTTCTTATCAAATTGCATTGATGTTTTAATTGTCTCTATAATAAAGTTAGTGACTTGAAACAACACAAATTCATTCTCTTATCATTCTGAAGTTCAGAAGTCTAAGATCACCATGTTGACAGGCTGGAGGCTTCAAGAGAGAATCCTTTCCTTTCTTTCTTAAGAAACTAACATTACTTAGCTTTTGGCCCCTTTTGTCCTTCAGAACATACCACTCAACCCCTAGTTCCCTCCTTACATCTTCTTTTCCTCTCTGACTTGCCCTTCACAAAGATCATCTGATTGCATAGGACCCAAATGGATGATCCAAGATAATCTCCCTAGCTCAAGATCCTTAACTTTATCAAATCTGCAAAGTAAGATGTAATATTCTTAGACTTAAAATATTGGAATGTGGAAATATTTTGGGCAAATGCACTGTTCTGTCTAACATCCATGTCAACGTTACTAATCTAGAAGGCTGACAGCAGTACCCAGCAGATTTTGGTGTGCATGCTGGAGACCCAGATAAGCCCAATACAGATGTTTTAGTGTAATGCAGTCTGTAGGATGCTAGGAAGTGGGGAAAGAAGGCAAGTAATCCTAAACATTCAATAGTATGAGAGATGCCAGAAATGAGGTATTCAGGTTTGGAGAGCACAAAGGAGCGTGCCATCAAACCTACAGCACTATTCTCCCTGGACTGTTAATGATCAGGTCCCCTTCCTTTCAGTCCCTGGTGTCTCCTGAAATGGACACAAGAGCCACAGGCTTCCTTGTAAGTTCCAGTGGTCTGCCTTCTTTAGAACATCTTATGTCTCCAGTGTTTTAGGACCCACTCCAGCTGTCAGATGCATCTGTTTGGTGCTGTACAGTTTACAAAGCACTTAAGAAGATGGATCTCATTTGTTTGTTCCCAAAGCCTCTAAAATATATATTAGCTTGTTCTTTTTAAGACAAGGTTCACAGATGTCTGTTTGAACTCTGGCAAATACTAATTGGTAGACCTAGAAATAAATCACAAATATTCCTATCTGAAATGCACAGAATTAAGCTGAGCATTTATTTACCGGTGAAATATTTTGAAGGCTGAGTGGAAAGTAGACAGTCTAAAATACCAGATCACGAAGTCGTCGTCTCAAAATTCAAAAATATACAAAAAAAAAAAAATAGAAAAAAAGGAATTTAAGCAAGCCAAGATAAATTAGTAGATCGTAAAGTGTTCAGCTCTCATTTTTCATGTAGAAT